GGGTCCTGGGTCTATAACACACTATAACACTCAGGGTCCTGGGTCTATAACACGCTAACACTCAGGGTCCTGGGTCTATAACACACTAAACACTCAGGGTCCTGGGTCTATAACACACTAACACTCAGGGTCCTGGGTCTATAACACACTAACACTCAGGGTCCTGGGTCTATAACACACTAACACTCAGGGTCCTGGGTCTATAACACACTAACACTCAGGGTAACACCTAACACTCAGGGTCCTGGGTCTATAACACACTAACACTCAGGGTCCTGGGTCTATAACACACTAACACTCAGGGTCCTGGGTCTATAGCACACTAACACTCAGGGTCCTGGGTCTATAGCACACTAACACTCAGGGTCCTGGGCCTATAGCACACTAACACTCAGGGTCCTGGGTCTATAGCACACTAACACTCAGGGTCCTGTGTCTATAACACACTAACACTCAGGGTCCTGGGTCTAAAGCATACTAACACTCAGGGTCCTGAGCCCATGGCACACTAATGCTCTGGGGCCCGGACCTATGGCATGCTGATGCTCAGGCTCCCAGACGTACGGCACGCTGGCGCTTGGAGTCCTGGACCTACAATACAATACTTGGGGTCGCGGACAAATGACACACTTACGCATGGGGTCCAGGACCTATGGTAAGCTGACATTCAGGGTCCCAAACGATGGTAAGCCAATGCTCAAGGGTCTGGATCTATAGCACACTGATGCTTGAAGTCCTGGACATATGGAACCCTAATGTTTGGGGTCCCAGATATTTGGCACGCAGACCCTCGATAACAGGATGTCAGGAACACACGATGACAGTCAGGAACCAAAACCTATGTTTCAGATGTTCGGGGTCCTAGACCTATAGCAAGCTAAAACTCTGTGTCCCACACTTATGGCATGACGACATTAGATTCCTCTTTTTACGGCACCCTGATACTTGGGATCCTGAGCCTATGACACACTGACGCTAGGTGTCCTGCCCTAAGGCCTCCCGCTATCTGGAATCTTGGACCAATAGCACACTGACAAAGGCGTCCTAGACCTATGGCATTGCTGACACTCTGGATCCTGGACTCATGGCAAGCCAACACTCAGAGTCCTATTCTTGTGGCACATTGACACTCGAGGGTCCCAGATATATTGCACATTGACACTATAGATCCCAGACCTATAGCATGGCGACACTCGGAATCCAAGAACAATGACATGCTGATACTCTGGATCCTGGACTCATGCCAAGCCGACACTCAGGGTCCTATTCTTGTGGCACATTGACACTCGGGTCCCAGATATATTGCACATTGACACTGTAGATCCCAGACCTATGGCACACCGACACTCGGGATCCTGGACCAATGACATACTGATACTCTGGATCCTGGACTCATGCCAAGCAGACACTGAGGGTCCTATTCCTGTGGCACATTGACACTCGGGTCCCAGATATATTGCTTATTGACACTATAGATCCCAGACCTATGGCATGCTGACACTCAGGATCCCAGACCAACGACATGCTGATACTCTGGATCCTGGACTCATTGCACATAGACACTATAGATCCCAGACCTATGACATGCCGTCACTCGGGATCCCGGACCAATGACATGCTGATACTCTGGATCCTAGACTCATGGCAAGCCAACACTCAGGGTCCCGTTTTTGTTGCACACTGACACTCAGGGTCCCAGATATATTGTACATTGCCACTATAGATCCCAGACCTATGGCATACCGACACTTGGGATCCCAGACCAATGACATGCTGATATTCTGGATCCTGGACTCATTGCACCTTGCCACTATAGATCCCATACCTATGGCATGCCGACACTCGGGATCCCAGACCAGTGACATGTTGATACTCTGGATCCTGGACTCATGGCAAGCCGACACTCAGGGTCCTATTCCTGTGGCACATTGACACTCCAGGGTCCCAGATATATTGCACATTAGCACTATAGATCCCAGACCTATGACATACTGACACTTGGGATCCCAGACCAATGACATGCTGATATTCTGGATCCTGGACTCATTGCACATTGACACTATAGATCCCAGACCTATGGCACGTCGACACTCGGGATCCCAGACCAATGACATGCTGATATTCTGGATCCTGGACTCAATGCACATTGACACTATAGATCCCAGACCTATGGCGTGCCGACACTCGGGATCCTGGACCATTGACCTGCTGATACTCTGGATCCTGGACTCATTGCCCATTGTCACTCTAGATCCCAGAACTACAGCACTGACAATTTAATTCCAGCCATAGAACATACAATTCCAGGCACTGCACATAATAGATCAGATCCGTTCATTTACCAACACATCAGAAAATGTTGAAGTAATACATTGAAATATTAAAAAGAAAAATAAACCAATCGGTTTCTCTGTTCGGATACATTACAGTCAGTGACACGCGTGATCGCAGTGTATAACCTGAGATCCGGGAGACATGTGCAGGCAGCTGAGCGAACTGCAAGCCGCCAACCAACTCCAAAAACAATATTTTCACACGAAGCCGAGGAAATGAACTCTTCTGTATTACTTCTCCTCGAACGTCAAGCGGCTCTATACTCGCCAACACATTAGGACGTTGCTTTCCTTACACCGCCACCACACCAGAAAAAAAATCAAATCACTCAAATAGAAGCGCAATTAAAAGAAAAAAAAGATTCCACTAAGAACTAATTCAATCTAAAAATAGCAGCAAAAGAATAACATTTTTGTCGTCTAGAAAAACTAGAACCCCGTGAATAAAGGAAAAAACAGAAAAAATAAACTGAGGCACCGAGCAGTTATTAAACCCAAAATCAAAAATATATTGCAGCTTACCAATCGTTAGATGTGGTGGCTGCATTTGTTTTCTTTTTTTAGGCTTTATTCCCTCTGTTTTCACCTGGTGATCTGGCCAGCAATCTTTCTGTATTAGAGTGCCTCCACTCTGGAGGAAGGAGCACAGGGGGCACACTTGGCAGCAGTGGAGTGTTAGATGGACTAGCAGATTTAGATACACTAACAAATTGAAGCCAAACTCCCGCTCATACTTTATATTCAGGTGCAGATTTTTTTTTTTCCTTTTGGGATAAAGGTTTTACATAAATGAATTAAAGAAGATCATTGTAAGCACCCCGTCGGTGGTAAATGGCTTGTTTCATCCCTGTACACTGATACAGTATAGCTGCAGGACAGCTTGTTCTTTTGAAAAACAATAGACTTGCTGGCTAAATCACCAAATACAAATAGAAGAGCGCAAGCTTAACCTCCCTAGCGGTCTGATTATGTCATATTTCTGTGCTCAAAGCGGTACTTTTTTTGCATGGAAAGATGTTGTTTTTTTATCGTAGGCTGTAATTTTTAGGAATAACTCACTGAAATCTGTCCGAACAAGAGTCTAGTAAACATCCCGGGTAGGATAAAATTTGAAACACAAAATCATAAATTATAATTTTAAATAGTCAGCCCTCCTATCCCTCTTGTATTGAACTGTATTGTTGCTGTATTGTCTCCCGTTATATTGTAAAGCGCTGAGCAACTGTTGGCGCCATAAATCCTGTATAATAATAATAATAATAATAATAATAAATATAAATCCATAAAAAATAATAATATAATAATAATATAATGTAATAATCAATAATATAATAAATCATAAAAAACCAAAAACATAATGAAATTTGTGAAATTAATCAAAGCGCCTGAAATGTGAAATAGAGCGCCAAGTTCGCACATCGCTGAGCAAAGTCGCAAAATCGTTTTCAGTGTCTGATGAGGAGTTTCCCCCACCAATCATTATCACTCAATTCTGCAAGTGGTTCTGATTTACTATCGCTGTTCTCTAGCCGGTCTAAAACCGCTTCTGACCTAAAGGGACGCTTTTTGGACGCCATGGACGTTTCTCAGTTTCCAGGCAGAAAGAACAGTAAAAATGCAGGCAGGGTGCCGGACAAAGCACTCGGGACAAAATGTATGTGAAATGGTTTGATACAGGAATGTTATACTATGTGATTTTAGTGTATTTAGTGAATGTCACTTTTTAATATTTTTAAATTTCCCGCCAGTTCCATCCCCCGTACGTCCCGACGTCGCAGGGAACGGAACCCAGAAGACAGATGCCGGCATTGGCCGGAGGACATTACAGGGGGCACTGCAGGGGGGACATCGCGGGAGCGCAGGACAAGGTAAGTGCAGAAGAGATCCCGGAGCAACGCTGCAGTGTATTCCTGAGTGTAGCTCGGGGTTACCGCTTGTGGTGCTGAAAGTTTACCCCGAGCTACACTCGGGAGTACCTCCAGGGGGGTTGATAAAAAGAAAACAAATGCAGCCGTCACACCTAAGAATCGGTAAGCTTCAATATAATAAATGTTTGCTTTGAAGCTAGATTTATATGTGCATCCAAACTCACCACTCCTCTGAAAAGTGATCCATGGTCGTAACACTTGCAGAGGCAAATCACACCTCCTCATCGCTTGTTTTAACTTTTGGTGTACAAACGTACCACAATGCACTGCAGGGCGTTTGTGGCACTTCCCATTTGCTGGAATGGGTCACTTTCAGTAGGTTTACAGCAATATGTTGGATAGGCTTTTCCTCCACCGGGGGGGGGGGGGGGGGGTTGGGAATGTAGTTTCCTGCTTGTGTGATTGGCTGACTGACTTTCCCAGAAATCTGCACTAAGATACAAGTTTGGTAAGATACTCCCAAAGGGGAATCACATCTAAAGGGATGCAGACCCTGCCACTTTCCTCATTAGAGCCCTGCAGGTGATTGATAATTAAAAAAAACACTGCCATCCGCATTCACTTTGCACATAGACACAGAGCAACAAACAGCTATTTCTTCAAATTAACAAAAGGTAGGAATCTGCAACAAAATCCCTGCAGTGTACATAGATCACCCAGCAAGGAAGGTTTTTTTTTTTCCAACAAAAGCGGAGTTACTGTTTCAAACTATTTATTTCAGCATAAGACGCATCCTTACCTGTCTCTGCATTTCTTCTACTTGTCTCTGAGGAAGACCCTGTAAAATGTTGTACATCTCCAGGATCTTCTCTTCTGGGATCACCACCGATGCCCTGGGATCAGAGGAATGGACAACGTCTATTAGGCTGGGTTCATATCTACAGGTGCAGCCGCATTCTCTCGTATCACGCGCAGGACAGCCAATTCACTGCATTTTGTTTAACCACTTCCTGTCCGGACACTTTTACCCCCTTCCTGACCAGGGCAATTTTCAGCTTTCAGCGCTATCACACTTTGAATGACAATTGCGCGGTCATGCAACACTGTACCCATATGAATTTTTTACCATTTTTTTGAGGCAGATAAAGCTTTATTTTAGTGGTATTTATTCACCGCTGGGATTTTTATTTTTTTTGCTATGTAAATGAAAATGTCCAAAAAAATTTTTAAAAAGTGTTTTTCTTATAAAATTTTGCAAATAAATAATCTTTCATCATAAATCTTGACCAAAATTTATTCCGTTATATTTTTAGTAGAAAAAAAAAAAGCCAAATTAGTTTATAACCAAAAATTATACTTTATAAACATTTTTTTTACATTTTTATTTATATTATTTATGTTTTTTTTTTTTTTTACATACTGTCACCCTAGCAGTACAGTGTCACCATGGTGACACTGTACTACTTGTGGGGGGCTGATGAAGATTTTTTTTTTTTTTTTACACTGATTGCTTTTACACCCATATAGGATGTAAAAGCAATCATTTCTCTTTCTCTCTGTCTGCATTCTTGCAGCCATTGAGAAATACTGAGTGAGCTGAGATTGGTCACACCTTGTCACATGGTACAAGGCTGTTGTGAATAGGCTCGTACCATGTGACCTCTGTGATCATTCACAGATTTCATACGTAGTAAGCAATGATGTCACAAGTGACATCTTGCTTACTACTTTGCATGTGATCACTGATTGGCCAATCCGTTATCACATGATCGGGACCTTGTACAGAGGTCCCGTCCGACGACCGGAGGACACCGCGGGCACCTGGATCGCCGTGCTGCGCACTCCCAAGGAGCACGCACAGCTAGAAAAGGCGGGTGCCGTTTATGAATGGCAACCCGTCCCTGGAGTGCCACCGCCCTGCCGTTTATAAACAGCAGGCGGACGGCAAGAGGTTAAGTGAGAAACGTGGAAAAGATGTTCCAGACTCTTCAAAAAGTGTTAAAGGAAGATGCTTACAATTACAGTGCCTTGAAAAAGTCTTCACACCCCTTGAAATGTTCCCCATGTTGTCATGTTACAACCAAAACCGTCAATGGATTTTATTGGGATTTATGTGATAGACCAACACAAAGTGGCACATAATTGTGAAGTGGAAGGAAAATGAGAAATGGGTTTCAACATTTTTTACAAACAAAAAAGTGTGTGAATTTGTATTCAGCCCCCCGGGGTCAATACGTTGCAGGACTCCCTTTCGTTGCAATTCCAGCTGCAAGTCTTTTTGGGGATGTCTCTTTGCACATCTAGAGAGGGACATTTCTGCCCATTCTTCTTTGCAGAATCGCTCAAGCTCTGTCAGATTGGATGGAGAGCGTCTGGGAACAGAAATTGTCGACTCTTGCCACAGACTCTCCATTGGATTTAGGTCTGGACTGTGACTGGGCCATTCTAACACATGAAGATGCTTTGATCTGAACCATTCCATTGTAGCTCTGGCTGGATTTTTCCTGCTGGAAGGGGAACCTCCACCCCGGTCCCAAGTCTTCTGCAGACTCTAAAGGGTTTTCTTTTAAGCTTGCCCTGTATTTGGCTCCATCCATCTTCCCATCAACTCTGACCAGCTCCCCTGTCCCTGCTGAAGAAAGACATACCCGCAATGATGCTGCCACCACCATGTTTCACAGTGGGGATGGTGTGTTCAGGGTGATGTGCAGTGTTAGTTTTCCCCCACACATAGCGTTTTGCTTTTAGGCTAAAAAGTTGAATTTTGGTCTCATCTGACCAGAGCCCCTTCTTCCACATGTTTGCTGTGTCCCCCACATGGCTTCTCACAAACTGCAAAAGGACTTCTTATGGTTTTCTTCCAACAATGGCTTGCTTCTTGTCACTCTTCCATAAAGGCCAGATTTGTGGAGTGCACGACTAATAGATGTCCTGTGGACAGATTCTCCCACCTGAGCTGTGGATCTCTGCAGCTCCTCCAGAGTTCCCATGGGCCTCTTGGCTGCTTCTCTGATGAATGCTCTCCTTGCCCGGCCTGTCAGTTTAGGTGGACGGCCATTTCGTGGTAGGTTGGCAGTTGTGCCATACTCTCCATTTTCAGATGATGTGCTCTGTGAGATGTTTAAAGCTTGGGATATTTGTTTTATAAACTAACCCTGCTTTAAATTTATCCACAACTTTATCCCTGACCTGTCTGGTGTGTTCCTTGGCCGTCATGATGCTGTTTGTTCACTAATGTTCTCTAACAAACCTCTGAGGGCTTCACAGAACAGCTGTATTTATACTGAGATGACATGACACACAGGGGGCTCTGTTTACTAATTAGGTGAGTTCTGAAGGCAATTGGTTCCACTAGATTTTAGTAAGGGGTAGCAGAGTAAAGGGGGGCTGAATACAAATACACGCCACACTTTTCAGATATTTATAAAAAAAAATTTAAAACCATTTTTCATTTTCCTTTACACTTCACAATTATGTGCCACTTCGTGTTGGTCTATCACATCAAACCCAATACAATACATTTACCTTTTTGGTTGTAACATGACAAAATGTGGAAAATTTTAAGGGGTGTGAAGACTTTTTCAAGGCACTGTACCTTTTTTTCAGGGTGGTCAGGATGACATCACCGCCCAGGCATTGCAGCAGTTGTCGGCGCTCTCTCCTCTCCCCTTAAGCCGGCTGCTAGGGAGATCACATGACGGAACCGGAGCACCGTAAGTATACACATCTTCCTTCTACAGGGCAGTTAGTATAGGCGCAGGTTTAATGTGATATTAAACCCAAAAATGTCATTTATCATGACTTACCAATCATTAGAGGTGGTGGCTGCATTAGTCTTCTTTTTTTAGTCTTTTTTTTTCCTATTTGTTTTCACCTGGTGATCTAGCCAGTAGCACACGTCAAATCGAGTGCCCCCACTCTGGAATAAAGAGCACAGGGGGCACCTTTGGACAGCAGCATTGTCAGCCTGAGGGGAGGGGAGTGTTAAATGCACTAGCAGATTAAAATACACTAACCGACTGAAGCCAGCTCACACTTTATAGGCAGTTACAGCAAACGGTTTTGTTCCTTTTGGGATAAAGGTCTTAAATAAATTAATAAAAGCTGTTTAGTATATTCGAGCAGATTTAAATACACTAACAGGTTGAAGCCAAACTCCAGCTCACACTTTATAATCAGTTACAGCAATTTTTTTTTTCCTTTTGGGATAAAGGTTTTATATCAATAAAAGTTGATCATTGTAAGCACCCCTGTCAGTGGTAAATGGTTTGTCTCATCCCTGTAACAGCCTGCTGGAGGGCTTGTTCTTTTGAAAGTAACACTTCCTGATTGGATCACCAGGTGAAAAAGAGAAAAAGCCTAGAAAAGAAAACTAATGCAGACATTACATCTAAGAATTGGTAATTGGTATTATACATATATAATACATGTTTGCTCTTGGGTTTATTACTGCTTTCAGCTTAGTTAGCCATAGGCCCTTTTACTCAGGCAGACTAGAAAATGGACAGATGGACCCGATCCAACCATCTAGTGTTCTCTATTTAGAGGTGGATGTAAACGCACGTGTCCGTTTACACCCACCTGCATCTGATCAGATCTGCTGAAAGCCAACAGATGGGGGATCCTTTTCCTTTCCGTCTAGCGCAGTGGTGTTCAAACTGCGGCCCTTTGCTTGCCTTTATCCGGTCCTTGGGGCACTGACATCAATGGGGCATAATTCCTGAAACTGACATCAACATTAGGGTACTATTCCTTCCACTGACACCAACTATTGGGCAGTATTCCTTCCACTGACACCAATGATGGGGTAGTATTCTTCCCACTGACACCAATGATGGGGCACTATTCTTCTTCCCACTGACACCAATGATGGGGCACTATTCTTCTCACTGACACCAATGATGGGGCGCTATTCTTCCCACTGACACCAATGATGGGGTACTATTCCTCCCACTGACACCAACTATTGGGCACTATTCCTCCCACTGACACCAACTATTGGGCACTATTCTTCCCACTGACACCAATGATGGGGCACTATTCTTCCCACTGACACCAATGATGGGGTACTATTCCTCCCACTGACACCAATGATGGGGCACTATTCTTCCTCCCACTGACACACCAATGATGGGGTACTATTCCTCCCACTGATACCAATGATGGGGCACTATTCCTCCCACTGACATCAATGATGGGGTACTATTCCTCCCACTGACACCAATGATGGGGTACTATTCCTCCCACCGACACCAACTATTGGGCACTATTTCTCCCACCGACACCAACTATTGGGCACTATTTCTCCCACTGACACCAATGATGGGTTACTATTCCTCCCAATGACAGCAACTACTGGGCACTATTCCTCCCACTGACACCAATGATGGGGCACTATTCCTCCCACTGACACCAATGATGGGGCACTATTCCTCCCACTGACACCAATGATGGGGCACTATTCTTCCCACTGACACCAATGATAGGGCACTATTCTTCCCACTGACACCAACTATTGGGCACTATTCTTCCCACTGACACCAATGATGGGGCACTATTCTTCCCACTGACACCAATGATGGGGCACAATTCCTCCCACTGACACCAATGATGGGGCACATTCCTCCCACTGACACCAATGATGGGGCACTATTCCTCCCACTGACACCAATGATGGGGCACTATTCCTCCCACTGACACCAATGATGGGGCACTATTCCTCCCACTGACACCAATGATGGGGCACTATTCCTCCCACTGACACCAATGATGGGGCACTATTCCTCCCACTGACACCAATGATGGGGTACTATTCCTCCCACTGACACCAATGATGGGGTACTATTCCTCCCACTGACACCAATGATGGGGTACTATTCCTCCACTGACACCAATGATGGGGTACTATTCCTTCCACCGACACCAAATATTGAGCACTATTCCTCCCACCTACACCAATATTGGGCACTATTTCTCCCACTGACACCAATGATGGGGCACTATTACTCCCACTGACACCAACGATGGGGTACTATTCGTCAAACTGACACCAACTATTGGGCACTTTTCCTCCCACTGACATCAATGATGGGGTACTATTCCTCCCACTGACACCAACTATTGGGCACTATTCTACTGACTACAATGATGAGGCATTGTTACTGACGCCAGGACATTTTCTGCTCCTACTGGCCACAGTCCATCCCCTCTAAAGTATGAAAAATAATAAACTGGCCCTTTGTTTAGAAAGTTTGGAGACCCCTGGCCTAGCGGATCAGATGACAGTCGGATGTAAATGGACAGGCAGTCCTCCCTATAGAGAGCAGTGGGCTGCGTCAGCACAAGCGGAGCGGACACAGACCTATCATCTGCCTGCTCAGCAGAGATCCACCGTCGAGCAGGCAGATCCACTTGCTGGAGTCTGCCCATGTCAAGGGGCCCATAGCCTGGAAAGAAATTCAATATATTTCGGTGGAAATCATCCATTCGGAAGGTGCAGCTCATGGGGCTTTATATTAAATAACGATCGGGGAATATTACCTCTTCCAGTCCAGCACCTCGGAGAAGGGCAGTACGTAGGAGTCAGCCATGATGACGGGGACGCAGCCAGCCTGAAGGACGTCACTGAGAACCGTTTGTCCCAAGCGGGCGCCGCGGAAGACCAGGCAGAATGTGGCCTCCTACCAATAGAAACAGACGTCAGGTCAAACTATTATTATTTATTATATCACCCCACAGAAACCAAACAGCAAAGGCAGCTGGGGTGACTGGCTTGTATGAAGCCATCCCAAGATTTCATCTTTCAAGAAACGTGATTGGACGCCATGGGTGACATCTCCAGGTTACGTCACGTCATCCTGCCCTTTCCATTTCAAAAAGCAGCATGGCTCACTGACACTCCTAGTGGCAGCTGCTTGTACTGCAGGCAGGCAGTTGCAGGCACAAAGTACACTACTGATACTGTCCAGTATGTTGTACAGGCAGGGGTGGACTGACAACTCATGGGGCCCCCGGGCAATAGGGGATCATGGGGGCCCTGTGTCCTCGCCCACACTCAAAAAAGCATACGAAAGGTATCAGGGGCATCTCATGGGGCCCCCTACTGACCCCGGGCCCTCGGGCAATGCCCGAGTTCCCAAATGGTCAGTCCGCCCCGTGTACAGGTGTCTGCAACTTAAAGCTGAACTCTTGGGTTAGTGAATATTGTATAAGTACATTTGTCGTGTATTCTTCTTAAATCTTGGGGTGCTTTGTGCATTTCTTCCAGATCTGGGCCGTAATCCAGTGTGAGACTTTCCCTCTGTAATAAAGACCACTCACTGATGCGCTCTCTCCTTGTGCAGGGTGACTGGTCTTGTCTCCGCCCCCTCCTGTAGTTTCCTGCAGGCAGCCTGTAGTGGGTGGGGCCTTCTGGACCCCACCCACAGCTCTGCTCTTTGCAATTGGGATGTGTAGCGCCCCTCCTCCATTCCCTGAACAAGTTATATTTACCTGTGTGAGCTCTCTCCCCAAACTCCATGTAAGCCTTAGCTTTACTGCTCTCAGAGAGTGGGGGTCTTCCATTTATGAAGAAGAACGTGCCCCCCACACCCATGCTTCCCCCTTCCCCATATACCAGTGCTCAGGCCCGAGCAGCAATCGCCAGGTATCAAACATTCACGTGGGGGGGTGGGGGATGTCATTCACCTGGTTAAACTCCAACACCTGGATGGACAGTGGGGAGTGGATAGATTAAAAAAAGTGGTTCTAAACGCTAAAGGTTTTTTACTTTAATGCCCTCTTTGCAATTAAAGTGTTACTAAACCCTGGACCCCTGCATTCACTATATCCGGTCTCCCCGGACCCTGCATTCACTATATCCATTCTCACCGGTCCCTGAATTCACTATATCTGGTCTCCCCGGACCCTGCATTCACTATATCTGGTCTCCCTGAACCCTGCATTCACTATATCCGGTCTCCCCGGACCCTGCATTCACTATATCCGGTCTCCCCGGATTCACCTGCATTCACTATATCCGGTCTCAGGTCTCGCCGGACCCTGCATTCACTATATCCGGACCCTGCATTCACTATATCCGCTCTCCCCTCAGACCCTGCATTCACTATATCTGCTCTCCCCGGACCCTGCATTCACTATATCTGCTCTCCCCGGACCCCGCATTCACTATATCCGTCTCTCCCCGGACCCCTGCATTCACTATATCCGGTCTGGTCTCCCCGGACCCCTGCATTCACTATATCCGCTCTCCCCGGACCCCTGCATTCACTATATCCGGTCTCCCCGGACCCTGAATTCACTATATCCGGTCTCCCCGGACCCTGCATTCACTATATCCGGTCTCCCCGGACCCTGCATTCACTATATCCGGTCTCCCCGGACCCTGCATTCACTATATCCGGTCTCCCCGGACCCTGCATTCACTATATCCGGTCTCCCCGGACCCTGCATTCACTATATCCGGTCTCCCCGGACCCTGCATTCACTATATCCGGTCTCCCCGGACCCTGCATTCACTATATCCGGTCTCCCCGGACCCTGCATTCACTATATCCGGTCTCCCCGGACCCTGCATTCACTATATCCGGTCTCCCCGGACCCGCATTCACTATATCCGCTCTCCCCGGACCCTGCATTCACTATATCCGGTCTCCCCGGACCCTGCATTCACTATATCCGGTCTCCCCGGACCCTGCATTCACTATATCCGGTCTCTCCCAGGACCCTGCATTCACTATATCCGGTCTCTCCACTGGACCCTGCATTCACTATATCCGGTCTCCCCGGACCCTGCATTTTACTATATTCTGGTCTGGACCCCCAGGACCCTGCATTCACTATATCCGGTCTCCCAGGACCCTGCATTCACTATATCCGGTCTCCCCGGATCCTGCATTTACTATATCTGGTCTCCCCAGACCCTGTATTCACTATATCCGCTCTCCCCGGACCCTGCATTCACTATATCGCTCTCCCAGGACCCTGTATTCCCGCATTTACTATATCCGCTCCGCTCCCCGGACCCTGCATTCACTATATCCGGTCTCCCTGGACCCTGCATTCACTATACCTGGTCTCCCCGGACCCTGCATTCACTATATCCGCTCTCCCAGGACCCTGCATTCACTATATCTGGTCTCCCCGGACCCCGCATTCACTATATCCGGTGTCCCCGGACCCTGCATTCACTATATCTGGTCTCCCCGGACCCTGCATTCACTATATCCGGTGTCCCCGGACCCTGCATTCACTATATCCGGTGTCCCCGGACCCTGCATTCATTATATCTGGTCTCCACGGACCCTGCATTCACTATATCTGGTCTCCCCGGACCCTGCATTCACTATATCTGGTCTCCCCACTGCATCATATATCTGGTCTCCCACAGTACACACAACATGAAAATGCAATTATTTTAGTAAATATAAACTGCTAAAATACCTTTTATCATCAGCAGTATAGAGCCTTCTATTAGTGTCAAGCAGACCACTGGTTAAAGCTTGTAGGAGGAGTTTTCATTCTACTCTATGAGGTTGCATAACCCCTGACCCTCTGTCTGGACAGTGCTGATTGGCCCTGTGCTGATCACATACACTCTCCCAAGAAAAAAAAAAAACCCTCTCTAGCAATATACACCAAACTGAACATGTGCATCTTGCCCCCAAGGCTCTTTTCTAGCAGCAGATGGATTGGGGACATTAGAAGGGAAGTATCACAGAAGACAGAATCAAACAGGCTTTTTACATGCAGAGGATTAACCCCTTAGGTTCCACAGTGAGTATAACAAGCATGCTTTACTGCATCTACAGACTGATTGTACTGTTGTGGGTTTAGTAACACTTTAAGTAAAAAACCTTCCAATAGCAGTGCACCCCACCCCCCTCCCTAAACAATTACCTGAGCCCTCTCACAATCCAGCGCTGTGCCCATCTGCAGTTCTCCTTTCCACTCTCCCCACTCTCACAGGCTGCACTTATAGCAGCGGGAGCCATTGGCTCCTGTTGCTGTCAAATCAAATCCTGAGACGAGGGAGCAGGGGGAGTGGCTGAGCCATGCTGTGTGTGTGTCTATGGATGCACACAGCCCAGCTGGGAAGTGTGCCCGCATGTGTGCCCCCATAACAAGCGACTTGCTATGGGGGCATTTGGAAAAGAGAAGGAGTGGACAGCACCAACGGGGGGACCCCAGAAGAGGAGGTATGGGGCTGCTCTGTGCAATACGATTGCACAAAGCAGGTTAGTAGAACATCTTTTTTATTTAAAGTAGGGAGGCACTGAAATTTCGGCCACTGAAACGTACTGACCAAAAATAGCCCTATCAGCATTTTGCCGACAGGAAAAATTTAGCCGATACAGGAGACTGTGTGTACTGCAGGTGTGGGGGGGCGGATGAGAAAGGTAGGAGAGGAGCAATGAATACAGTGACTGGCTGTCACTATAGGTCAGTGCCGGATTTTAAATGTAATTACCGGCTTTCTTTTTCTTCACTATAGCTCACAGAATCAGCTGTCACTTTGCCCAGAGCTAAAAGAAACAAAGTTTCCTTTTAGTTTATTTCCCGAGATAAAAGAAACAATGTTTCCTTTAGCTCCAGGGAAAGTGACAGCTAATTCTGTGAGCTATAGTGAAGAAAAAAAAAAAAAAAAGCTGGCAATTGCATTTAAAAACCGGCACTGACATATAGTGACAGCCAATGAGGGAGCCTCTATGTATACACTGCCCCCCACCCCTTCCCACCTACAAAGAGGACCTGTCACTCATATGCTATCACATAGGGGACTAGTGGTCCCTTATGTGATAGCAATAAAATCATAAGTAAAAAAAAATAAATAAATAAAAATATACATGAAAGTAGAGAAAAAAATTGGAGCCTCCCAACCCCCACATATGCAGACATTTCGGTTCGGTTTTCGGCCACATGCATTCTGAATTGTCGGTATCGGTATCAGCACCAGAATTTTCATTTAGGTGCGCCACTAATTTTAAGTAGAAAATGAAGGTTTACAATCACTTTAAATATTCACTAGACCACTGCACCCATCACCCCTCCCCCTCCGACCATGACCTACCTGAAGAACTTGCGGGTATTCGTAGATGTTATTCTTATGGCAGCGTTTCCGATGTGGCGATGTGTCATCAGATAGATTACTGCACTTATCCAGGATCAGCACCGACTCCCCGTTTTCTGCTCGTATCATCTCCAGATCAGCACGGAACTCGGGGTGCAGAGCGGTCTGGGAGGAGAGGAGGAAGAAGGTCCGGGGGCTGCAGAGAGAACAGGGTGGTCAGACTCCGTACAGAGATGAGTGTCTACTCAATATCAGAAATACTTACCCCGCCCTGTCATGTGACGTGGCCTACCACTTGGTGGCTGAGTGGCTGTTGTTCCCAGTTGCTTCCACTTTGTTATAATCCCACTAACAGTTGAGCGTGGAATATTTAGTAGCCAGGAAATGTCACGGATGGACTTATTGCACAGGTGACAACCTATCACGGGACCACGCTTGGAGTCACTGAGCTCCTGAGAGCGACCCATTCTTTCACCAATGTTTGTAGAAGAGGTCTGCATGCCTAGGTGATGATTTTATACACCTGTGTCCATGGAGGGGATTGGAGCACCTGAATCCAATGATTTGGAGGGCGGGGCCAATACTTTTAGTGTGTGTACATATATATATATATATATATATATATATATATATATACACACACACACACATATATATATATATATACACACACACACACACACACACACACACACACACACACACATATATATATATACACACACACACACACACACACACATATATATTTATATACACACACACACACACACACATTATATATATATATATATATATATATATATATATACACACACACATTATATATATATATATACACACGTGTGTGTGGTGTGGTGTGTGTGTGTGTGGTGTGTGTGTGTGTGTATTACCAGATCACTGGAGCTATGATCCATACTGACCCTGGAGCCCGCTCAGGTAGGTTCACTTCAGACAGAGGACAGTAGACGGGAATGCTGACATCATATCCCTGGCGGTAAGTCCACGTTGAGAAGCCCCCACCGGCCAGCACCGCTCTGGAAGAGAAATCGATGACAGACGTGATAAAAACATGGGAGATAACTGCGTGGATAACATAGTACAGATTTCACAGATCCCATTCACATATATTTGTATACTTATAAACAAAGTTTAGGTGCAATCAGCTTATATTTTGCCTTCCCTGGGTCCTCCTTTCCCTTGTCATCATCAACACACTAATGACATTTTATGTAAAACCTATTTTAATAACATACCTTATTTTAGACCCGGTGATGTCATCGCTGGATCTCTGTGCTTTTCTATGCAATGCAGGCAGATCACAGCTGGAGGGAGGGGCCGGCAAGGTACTGTATACAGATTTCTGAAAACGTCACAGCACCCTGCCTCAGCATTCCTCTCAAGAGCCCTCAGTCCTGATGCAAGCAGTGGGCTGGCTCTTGGAACTTCCAAGCCGGAAGGAGTTATGCAAATATTAAAATGACTTGATGGGTGGATGTTCTGGTAATGATTGTGGAATGGCTCTCAATGATCACGTGACCACTTTGTCAGCCAATCACATGACCACTTTGTCAGCCAATCACAGTGGTCACATGATTAGGAACCCCTCCCCCCCCCCCCATGGTAAAGACATCACTATTAGGAAGTCTTTCTCACCCCCTCCTGGCATAAAGACCCAGTTAAAGTGGCACAAGGGCTGAGCGGAAAGGATTAAAATACCATCTGGTGATCCGTAAATGAAGGTCCTTGTCTGGGCACTTCCTGTTACAAGGTGACAACGCTCTGTCCCTATCTCACAACTGTGTCCCTGCGTTGTCACTCTGCTCCTGAGAGGTTTTTTTTTTTTAACATTATGATTGCTTACAGCAGTGAATTTCATTGCTATAAGTAAGCATTTTACTGAATGAAATCAATTCATTCAGTAAGTATTGCTATGATTGCTGAGTGAATCTGAGGGCTCCTAGACAATCTTCATTTGCATAGGTAACACCCACATGTGAATCTGAGCCTCCATGACTGAAAGAACTGAAATCCAATGAATAAAAAGGGGTGGGGAGAGGGACAGTCATGGGGAGAAACGCGCGCAAGATGATGGTGGACATCCTCCATCCAGAAAATGAGGTGGAGCTCTATCTGACTTGCTGCAGCTTGTAATGCACATTATGAGCAGCTCACAGTGTGCAGTGAAATCAGAGGAAGCCATTTCTGTCCAGGAGGGATGGGGGGAGGGATGGGGGGGAGGGATGGGGGGGGTTAGGACGGAGGTCAATGTCACTGGTGAGCTTTGCAGAGCTCTAACAACAGCGCCCCCTATTGCTGAATTCCACAATGCCAGGCTGATGTGAATACACAATATAGAGGATATTATGAGCACATTACACAGATAAGATCCTCCTGGGTCATTCCTGGGACATCCAATATTCCAGTGTGCTGTGTCCTCTATAGAAGAGGTAATATACAGACTGACATCACATAGTGGTGATGACCCCCCCCCCTCCCTCCCCCCCCCCCCCCCCACCATTCAGGATGATAACATCTGGGACCGGACAGCGTGATCAGAGTCCGTGTGAGGAGCTGTCATTGCGGAGACACCAGCCGCCCCGTCAGCTGTAATTGCAATCATTACAGAACAAAAACAATGGAGGTCCTGAGGGGCTGCGTCCTCCCCCCAGACATCGTCCTCCCCCCAGACATCGATGTCACCATCAGGTCAGGCTGGAGGCGCCCTCTGCGATGACAGGGCTCTTCTTCTCTGTACCAGTCACAGAATATCGCCCGGACTTATAATATACCCGTAACTGGGGGAAAAAAATCTCTAAAGACACTGGAAATAACGGGTGTATTTATTAAAAAAAAAAAAAAAAAATCAAATTGCAAACTGTACATAATTTCCCGTACCTTCGCAGTCATGCCACCTTCGTGCTCCCCGCAGTACCCGGCCTAGTCCTGAAGGCACATACATCTGCGCATGTGACAGCACAAGCAAGGACAGCGGCATGTGGGGGGGCAGCATTAAGAGGAATGAAGTTCCTCTTTACATTAACCACTTCAATACTTTCCTGCCCAGGCCATGACAATTGCGCAGTCATGCAACACTGTACCCATATGAAATTTTTATCATTTGTTTCCCATACAAATAGAGCTTTTTTTGGCGGTACTTAATCACTGTTTTTTTTGCTAAATAAAATTTAAATTAAAAAAAAGGAAAATTTTGAAAAAAAAAACTTGTTTTTTCCATTTTTTTTTTTGCTAAAAAAAAAATTAAAAGAAAAAAAGGAACATTTTGAAAAAAAAAAAAAAAAAACGCGTTTCATTTCCATTACAAAATTTTGCAAATAAATAATCATTCTTCATAAATTTAGGCCAAAATGTATTCTGGTACATTTCCTTGGTGAAAAAAGCAAATCAGTGTTTATTATTTAGTCTGGTTTTTTTTTTTGCTAAATAAAAAATGCTAAAAAAAAAAAAAAAAAAAAGGAAAATTAAAAAAAAAAAAAAAAAAAAAAGTGTTTAATTTCCATTATAAAATTTTGCAAATAAATATTCATTCTTCAGAAATTTAGGCCAAAATGTATTCTGCTACATTTCTTTGGTGAAAAAAACAAATCAGTGTTTATTATTTAGTCTGTAGGAAGGTTATACAGTCCACAAACTATGGGATATATCTGAAAATCGATCAATCCTGATCAGTGTACTGATGGCACTGATCTAACTTCCCGACAACTGAAAATGCCAGGAGAGTACAAATACCCCCCCCCCCCCCCCCCCCCCATGACCCCTTTTATGGAAAGTTTTTTGAAGATGTCATTTGTTGTAATAATTTTTATAATAAATTAAAAAAATATTTTTCACAATTATTTTTTTTCTTTTTACATGCTGCCACCAGTGCAGTACAGCGTCCTCATATAACTGGTAGCATTTCAAATATATGTCAATATATTTGGAAAGAATATTTTTAAAATATATTTCTAATATATTTTTCTTCCGTGTGGGGCCACTCACACTGTCAAAAAGTAACATTCAGAAGCTACAAAAACTGCAGCTGCTGACTTTTAAAAAAACAGCCACTTACCTGTCCCAGGATTTAGCATTGTCCTCCCCGCAGCCCGTTTCACCAGCCGTCCTGTGTCCCAGGCGCTGGCATCTTCAGTGTGGGCACCCGGCTGCGACAGCTTGTGGCTTCACAGCCGGGTGCCCACTGAGCATGTGCGAGTAGCGCTGCGCTTCATGAATGGTCCTGTAGTCTTCTGGGACCTGTCATTGTCCCAGAAGACTACAGGGAGGAGGACTTCCGCTTCCGATCGTCTAGGCAATTTGACCGAAGTGGGAGCGGAAAGACTGCAGGGAGGGAGGGAGGATAACTTCCGCTTCCGATCACCTAGGCAACCGCAGCAGATTTGGGAGTGGGTACCTGTCAATTTCGGGTACCCACTCCCTCCTTCACTCCCCAAAGGTGCCAATCCTTAATGGGGGGGGATCAGTCTTTAAAGCAGAATGTCCTCTTTTGGGTGGAGCTCCGCTTTAAGAAGGTCAGCAGCTTGGATGAGCACTGATAGAGAACTGACCCATTTCTCTGGAACATGGCATTACTGCCACCTTCTGGACGTCAGAGAGAATACTACAGCCTTTTTTTTTTTTTTTTTTAATTCACAAAACACATACAAACGCCTCGGTTAATGTAATTTTCAGTTTACGAATGAAAATCCACTGAAAATAACGCCTCGGTTTACAAATGTTTTTCGCAATACGGACAGATTAATTGGTTTTCAGTGCATTTACAAATTTTTTTAAAACCATGTCCCTGTACAGTATTTATGCCTTTAAAGTGCACTTTACAAAGAGTTTTGAACAGATAAGACTTTTTTTTACTTGTTTCTGACCTAAAAGACTAATTAATTGGTTTTCAATGAATTTACAAATTAATTTTCTGTCATGTCCCTACAGATTTATGCCTTTAAAGTGCACTTTATAAAGAGTTTTGAACAGATAAAAGACTTTATTTTTTACTTTTTTCTGACCTCCGGAACGGATTAATTGGTTTTTAATGCATTTACATTTTTCTTTAATCATATCCTTTTATGCCTTTAAAGTGCACTTTATAAAGAGTTTTGAACAGATAAAACTTTTTTTGTCTTTTTTCTAACCTCTGGAATGGATTGACTTTTTTTTACTTGTTTCTGACCTCCAGAACGGATTAATTGATTTTCAATGCATTTACAAATTCATTTTTAATCATGTCTCTGTACAGTATTTATGCCTTTAACCATTTTCAATACCGGGCAATTTTACACCTTCCTGCCCAGGCCATTTTTTCAGGTTTCAGCGCTCTCACAGTTTGAATGACAATTGCGCGGTCATACAACATTGTACCCAAACTAAAATTTTATCATTTTCTTCACACAACTAGAGCTTTCTTTTGGTGGTATTTAATCACCGCTGGGGTTTTTATTTTTTGCTAAATTAACAAAAAAAAACCAAAAATTTTGAAAAAAAAAACAAGTTTTTCTTTGTTTCTGTTATAAAAGTTTACAAATAAATAATTGTTCTTCATAAATTTAGGCCGAGATGTATTCTGCTACATGTCTTTGGTGAAAATAACCCAAATTAGGATGTATTTTTTAGTTTGTAGGAAAGTTATAGAGTTCACAAACTATGGTATAGATCTGAAAATTGATCAATCCTGAAGTACTGACAGCCAATCTAATTTCTTGAGGTCCAAGAATGTCAGACATAGTACAGATATCCCCCAAATGTCAGGACAGTACAGATATCCCCCAAATGTCAGGACAGTACAGATATCCCCCAAATGACCCCTTTTTGCAGAGTAGACAGTCCGACGTACTTCATAAGAGGAATGGCGAGTTTTTTGAAGTTGTATTTTTTTTTGTCATAATTTTTCGGAAAATGAAAAAATTAAAAAAATTATTTTCACAAATTTTTTTTTTTACATACTGTCACCAGTGCAGTACAGCGTCATCATATAACTGGCATGGCGGTGATCAGGGACACTGACTGGTGACAGTATGAAAAAAAAAAAATACATTTTTTTATTATTTTTAATTTTGTGTTTTTTACATTTTTATTACATTTTTTTTTATTTTTTTAAGATTTTTTTTTTTCATATTTTACTTATGATTATTTATTTGCTAAAATTTTATAATGGAAAGAATTACTTTGCTATAAGCAAGCATTTACCTGAATGAAATCGATTTTTTTTTTTTTTTTTTTTTTTTGTGCTTAGCTGTGATTTGGCCACAGCTAATCACATGACATGTGCATGTGACCTGCTGTGACCATTCACAGCTAGCACTAGTATACAATAGATGGCATGAATGAAGCCATCCATTGTATACAACTGTCATGTGACCTGCTGTGATTGGTCACAGCAGGTCACATGGTACAGGCAACGGGGGCCGGTACTCAGATCTGTCATCGGCCGTGTCCGAGGTACACGGCTGGTGACAGGTCGCGCCGCTGAGCGGCAACTCTGCAACCGCGGGAGCACGCCAAATGGTGTGCACCCGGAAAGCTGAAGCATTTTTGCGGCCGCCAAACGGCTATAGGCCGGGCGGCTAATGGTTAAAGTGCACTTTATAAAGAGTTTTGAACAGATAAGACTTTTTTTTTACTTTTTTCTGACCTCTGGAACGGATTAATTGGTTTTCAATGCATTCCTATAGGAAACCACATTTAGGTTTACGAATATTTCGCAATACGAAAAGTCCCGCAGAACGCATTAAATTCGTAAACCGAGGTACACCTGTAATTTAGGTCTTAAAAAAGAGAAAAAAACAAACAAACGAACCACAAATAACCTGCATGATATTTGTTCCTGTCCCTTCTTTGTTCCAAAACTTTCCACCCAAACTGAAAAAGTCGTGAAGAGTCGGTGAGAACTATCAGAACTTACCTGTCTCGGGGTACATCCAGGGCAGTGTTATAATCGGGGGGTCCTCCAGGTAACATGTTAAACAGTAAGTGATTGGTCCCTCGATCCCACCTATCGGGAAGACAATTTAGAAGCTCTAGAATTAACAATGACTGTTAGAGACATACAATACAAGCAAGCTTGTTTAATAAATGATTTAACCACTTCAGCTCTGGAAGGTTTTACCCCCTTCATGACCAGGCCATTTTTTGCTATTCGGCACTGCGCTACTTTAACTGGTAATTGCCCGGTCATGCACCGCTGTACCCAAATGAAATGAATACCTTTTTTTTCACACAAATAGAGTTTTCTTTTGGTGGTATTTTGATCACCACTTGGTGTTTTATTGTTTGTGATATAAATTAAAAAAAATTTTTTTTGGAAAAAGTAAAAAAAAAATATTTTTTACTTTCCGCTAGAAGGGCCAGTTCCACGCTACATGTGTTTGAATTGCGATTTTTTTCTGCATCCAAAATGCACAGAAAGTAGGTTATATGGTTGTCAATGTCATAATAATAATAATTTCCAAAATAATATTTATAATATTAATTTCCAAAATAATTTATAATAATAATCAAAAATGTCAGTCTTTTTTTCATATATAAATGAAAAAAGTCCGAAATTTTTGGAAAAGGTTAAAAAAAAAAATATATTTTTTACTTTCCGCTATAAGAGCCAGTTTCAAAATTGAATTTCATTTTTTTCTGCATCCAAAATGCACAGAAAGTAGGTTATATGGTTGTCAATGTCATAGTTCACATCAGCGCTTGCAGTTCCAGTGCGTTCCGGTTGCAGAAAAAAAAAAGTAGAACATGCTGCGTTTTTTTTTTTGCACAGATCTGTACTGGAACATCGTAAAACGCATCAAAAATGCACCGGAATGCACATGTCCCTATTTCAACTGAAGAAAAAATGAACTGGAATGAAATAAAAAACCCATCAAAAATGCACCAAAACATGTCGAAAAACACACACATGCGGAAAGCATCTGGACTGAGTTTCTATAGTGTGAATCGGCCCTAAAACATATCCAATAAAAATTTTTAAAAAATCAAATTTCTTCATAAATTTTGGACAAAATGTATTCTGCGACATGTCTTGATAAAATAAAAAAAAATCCCAATAAGTGTATATTGAATTTTTTGTGTGAAAGATTTAATGCCTACAAATGATGGTATATACAGTTAGGTCCATATATATTGGACACAGCACAATTTTCATACTTTTGGCTCTATTCCACCAGAATAAATTAAAATGAAACAATCCGAATGACTTTGAAGTGCAGATTTTCAGCTTTAATTCAAGGGGTTCAACATAAAATCAAGTACAAATTTTAGAGACTGCAACCATTTTTATACACAGTCCCTCCATTTTCAGGGGCTCAGTAATTGGACAATTGAATAGAATCATAAATAAAATGTTCATTTTTAAAATTTTGTTGAGAATCCTTTACTGGCAATGACTGCCTGAAGTCTGGAACCCATGGACATTGATGCTTTGCCAAAGACATGGGTTTCCTCCTTTCTGATGCTTTGCCTGAAGTCTGGAACCCATGGACATTATCAAATACTGGGTTTCCTCCTTTCTGATGCTTTGCCTGGAGTCTGGAACCCATGGACATGACCACAGAGACTGGGTTTCCTCCTTTCTGATGCTTTGCCTTCTGGAACCCATCCTTTCTGATGCTTGCCTGAAGTCTGAACCCATGGACATTGACCAAAGACTGGCTTTCCTCTTTTCTTTCTGATGCATTTGCCTGCTTTGCCTGAAGTCTGGATGGACCCAGAGACTGGGTTTCCTCCTTTCTGATGCTTTGCCTGAAAATACTGACCAAAGACTGGTTTCCTCATTTCCTTTGCCTGAAGTCTGATGGACATTTGGGTTTCCTCCTTTCTGATGCTTTGCCTGAAGTCTGGAACCCATGGACATGACCACAGACTGGGTTTCCTCCTTTCTGATGCTTTGCCTGAAGTCTGGAACCCCATGACCAGAGAATGCTTTGCCTGTCTGGAACCCATGGACATGACCAAAGACTGGCTTTCCTTTCTGATGCTTCCTGAAGTCTTCTGATGCTTCGCCTGAAGTCTGGAACCCATGGACATTACCAAAGACTGGCTTTCCTCCTTTCTGATGCTTTGAAGTCTGGAACCCTGAAGTCTGGACCCATGGACATGGACCATGACCATAGACTGGGTTTCCTCCTTTCTGATGCTTTGTCAGGTTCTAACTGCAGCTGTCTTCAGTTGTTCTTTGTTTGTGGGTCTTTCTGTCTTTAGTTTTGCTTTCAGCCAGTGAAATGCATGCTCAATGGGGCTGAGATCAGGTGATTGACTTGGCCATTGCAGATCTTCCACTTCTTTTCCTTCAAAAACTTCTTGGTTGCTTCTGCAGTGTGTTTTGGATCATTGTCCATCTGTACTGTGAAGTGCCGTCCAATCAACTTTGCTGCATTTGGCTGAATCTGGGCTGCCAGTATATCTGTAAACACGGCAGAATTCATCCGGCTGTCTTCTGTCACATCATCAATAAACACCAATGATCCAGTGCCACTGGAAGCCATGCATGTCCATGCCATCACACTGCCTCCACCATGTTTTACAGATGACGTTGTGTGCTTTGGATCATGAGCCGTTCCAAGCCTTCGCCACACTTTTTTCTTCCCATCATTCTGGTACAGATTCATCTTAGTTTCCTCCATCCAAAGAATGCTTTTCCAGAACTGGTCTGGCTTTTTTTAGATGTTTTTTGGCAAAGTCTAATCTGGCTTTTCTATTCTTCAGGCTTATGAATGGTTTGCACCTGTGGTGAACCCTCTGTATTTGCTCTCGTGAATTCTTCTCTTGATTGTAGACTTTGACAATGATACGCCCACCTCCTGGAGAGTGTCCTTCACTTGTCTGGATGTTGTGAATGGGTTTTTCTTTACCATAGAGAGGAATCCTGCGATCATCTACCACTGTTGTCTTCCGTGGACGTCCATGCCTTTTTATGTTGCTGAGCTCACCAGTGCGTTCTTCTTTCCTCAGAATGTACCAAACTGTTGATTTTTCCACTCCTAACGTTGCTGCGATCTCTCTGATGGATTTGTTTAGTTTTTGAAGCCTTACAATGGCCTGTTTCACTTGCATGGACAGCTCCTTTGAAAGCACGATGTAGGTTCACAGCAATAGATTCCAAATGCAAATACCGCACTTAGAATCAACTCCAGACATTTTATCTGCTTAACTGATGAAGAAATAACGAAGGAGTAGCCCACACCTGGCCATGAAACAGCTTTTGATTCAATTGTCCAATTACCTTTGGTCCCTTGAAAATAGGGGGGTGACTACTCTTAAGAACTATAATTTCTAAACCCTTCCTCCAATTTGGATGTACGTACCCTCATATTAAACCTGAGAGTGCGCACTGTCCGCCCATATCCATTATAGAACTATAGCTTGAATATGTTTTAGTAAATACCTGAAAAAAAAACTGAAATTGCGCCTGTGTCCAAATGTACCAAACTGTTGATTTGGCCACTCCTAATGTTGCTGCAATCTCTCTGATGGATTTGTAAATTTCCTTTTTAACTAGTAAAAAGTTGCACCCAAGCACTTAAGACCCACCCCACACTCCAACATATATGCACGTACGAACGTAAACACACACGCCGAGGTGCCTACATGTGAAAACATCGAGTGCGACACACGTTACATATCACCGCACACGCCCGAATGAGAGCAATAATTCTAGCACTAGACCTCCTTTGTAAAACTAAAGTGATGGCTTTAAAAGTGTCACCTATATAAAATATAAGGTCCTAAAGTTTGTCGGCATTTCACAAGCGCATGCAAATGTAAGGTTTCACATGTTGGGTATCTAGTTACTCGGTGCAACCTCATTTTTATATTTTACCAACAAAGGACAAGACTGGGGCCCCGATTTAGTCCCTGGACAAGTAGTTTTTTTTTCAAAAATTTCCAGACCCCTGCATATAGTTGTGCTAGTCAGGTGTCCCCATACTAGTGGCCATATAGTAGGTGAGAAAGTCACATGTGATTTGTTGGTTTGGTGGCCACATGTTGGTCATATAGTGGGTGTGATGGTAAGGTGGTCACATAATGTTGGCCATATAGCAAAAGTGATGGTCAGGTGTCCACATAATGTTGGCCATATAGTCGGTGTTACGGTCAGTTGTACTGTTGGCCACACAGTAGGTGTGATGGTCTGGTGTCCCACATGCTGTTGGCCATATAGTTGTTTGTGATGCTCAGATGTCAGCATACTGTTGGCCATATAGTAGGTGTGATGGTAAGGTTTCCACATACTGTACTACTGGACACATAGCAGATTTGATGGTCAAGTGTTCACATATAGTAAGTGTTGGCCATATTATGGATGCAAGGGTCAAGAGTCCACATACTGTTACTTGTGATGCTCAGATGTCTACACACTGTTGATCATATACATTTGTATGTCCATACTGTTGGCCATATAGTAGGTGACATGGTCAGATTTCGACATACTGTTGGCCATATAGTAGGTGAGATGGTCAGGTTTCTGCATACTGTTGGCCATATAGTAGGTGAGATGGTCAGGTTTCGACATACTGTTGGCCATATAGTAGGTGAGATGGTCAGGTTTCGACATACTGTTGGCCACGTAGCAGATTTGATTGCCAGGTGTCCACATACCGTTGGTCATATAGTAGATGATGGTCAGGTGTCCACATACATGTTGAGCATATGGGAGCTGTGAAGGCCAGGGTCCACATGTTGGCCATACAGTAGGTGTGATGGTAAAGTCCCCACATACTGTTGGGTATACAGTACGGTAGGTGTGATGGTCAGGTGTCCACGTTGGCCATATATTAGGTGTGATGGTCAGGTGTCCACATACAGTTGGGTATATGGTAGGTGTGATGGTCAGGTGTCCACATGCTGGCCATATGGTAGGTGTGATAGTCAGGTGTCCACATACTGTTTGATATGGTAGGTGTGAAGGCCAGTTTTCTACATTGTTGATCATATAGTAGGTGTGACAGTCAGGTGTCCCCATACTGTTGGGTATCTGGTAGGTGTGAAGGTCAGGTGTACACACAAAATGAAGTGTCCACCTGACACTGGTATAGCAAGCGATCAAGTATACGGAATGGACGAGCCCCGTTCACCGCAGGACACCTCGCCGACAGCTCCAGGGAACGTCCTGACGTCATCCAATAAGCTCCGCCCTACGCGTTTCGTCACTCTGACGTCCTCACAGAGCGGCTCCGTGAGGAGGTCAGAGTGACGAAACGCGTAGGGCGGAGCTTATTGGATGACGTCAGGACGTTCCCTGGAGCTGTCGGCGAGGTGTCCGCGGTGAACGGGGCTCGTCCATTCCGTATACTTGATCGCTTGCTATACCAGTGTCAGGTGGACACTTCATTTTGTGAGTAGGATGCAATTGAAATAAAAGCTTTAAATGGTTCTTACTTGCTGCACCATCATGCCTTTTCTTTATTTTTGGATTTTTACTATACAATTGGAGGATGTGTGTATAAGGAGTCTTGGTGTACCTCAAAATCACTGCAGAGTATTGTTCCTGCTATCTGGAAGGTCTATACTATAGAGTGCTACTTCATGATCTACTTACTCATCGCTCCCAGAGCAAACGCGCTTGTGCTGATTTATAATCTAATCAGCATTGAGCTCTGGTGAGTTCATTCCATTCATTTGGTGGTGGATAAAGCACGGTGGAATTATATGTTTAAAGAAGAAGAAATTTTCTGTTCTTTGTGGTGTTGGACTTTCTTTTGTACACTTATATACACGAAATTTATGGATTATTTTCACTAAAAAGTTTTTTATGTTTGGACTTTTGACACATATATTTATGGTTAATATATATTTAGCGCATTCCTATTGCTGATTTTTTACATTTTACCAATAGTTTGGGTTAAAGGTTTGCTGCTGGAGAGGATTGATATTGTTGATTGGCGCTTTCTTTTCTTGTTTTTCAGGTGTACACACTGTTTGTCATATAGTTGGTGTGTTGGTCAGGTGTCCATATGTTGGCTATATATTAGGTGTGATGGTCAGGTGTCCACATACTGTTGGGCTATGGTAGGTGTGATGATGGTCAGGTGCCAACATTGTTGGTCATATCGTAGGTGTGATGGACAGGTGACCACATACTGTTGGCATATGGTAGGTGTGAAGGTCAGGTGTACACACTGTTTGTCATATAGTTGGTCAGGTGTCCATATGTTGGCTATATATTAGGTGTGATGGTCAGGTGTCCACATGTTGGCTATATATTAGGTGTGATGGTCAGGTGTCCACATTGTTGGTCATATAGTAGGTGTGATGGTCAGGTGTCCACATTGTTGGTCATATAGCAGGTGTGATGGTCAGGTGTCCACATGTTGGCTATATATTAGGTTTGATGGTCAGGTGTCCACATTGTTGGTCATATAGTAGGTGTGATGGTCAGGTGTCCACATTGTTTGTCATGTAGTAGGTGTGATGGTCAGGTGTCCACATGTTGGCTATATATTAGGTGTGATGGTCAGGTGTCCACATTGTTGGTCATATAGTAGGTGTGATGGTTGGGTGTCCACATGTTGGCTATATATTAGGTGTGATGGTCGGATGTCCACATTGTTGGTCATATAGCAGGTGTGATGGTTGGGTGTCCACATGTTGGCTATATATTAGGTGTGATGGTCAGGTGTCCACATCGTTGGTCATCATATAGTAGGTGTGATGGTCATGTGTCCACATTGTTGGTCATATAGTAGGTGTGATGGTCAGGTGTCCACATTGTTGGTCATATAGTTGGTGTGATGGTCAGGTGTCCACATTGTTGGTCATATAGTAGGTGTGATGGTCAGGTGTCCACATTGTTGGTCATATAGTTGGTGTGATGGTGTGTCCACATTGTTGGTCATATAGTAGGTGTGATGGTCAGGTGTCCACATTGTTGGTCATATATAGTAGGTGTGATGGTTGGGTGTCCACATTGTTGGTCATATAGTTGGTGTGATGGTCAGGTGTTCACATTGTTGGTCATATAGTAGGTGTGATGGTTGGGTGTCCACATTGTTGGTCATATAGTTAGGTGTGATGGTCAGGTGTCCACATTGTTGGTCATATAGTAGGTGTGATGGTCAGGTGTTCACATTGTTGGTCATATAGCAGGTGTGATGGTTGGGTGTCCACAAACCTTCCTTCAGCGAACAGAGAAGAGTCACAGAATTTTACCCCCACCACCCTTTTACCTGAGAAGCTGTGCCAAGGCCTGCGCCGTCTCCTTAATCCGCAGGTTGTTCTGATTCAGAACGTCGATGGAAGGGAGGAAGAGACAGGCTCTGTTCATGTCTTCCGTGTAGAATTCACTCTGCGAGACGGCAGTGAGCAACTGATTGTACTCCCGGGAGATCGTGCTGCCCACCGATCCCCCATATTCATCCGTGTACTTCTTCAGGGGGTAGATGTAAACTTTGACCTTGTTCTTGGGGTTGTACCCACAGCGGTAGACATCGAAGCAGGTGTGCATCCGGCAGCTCAGTCCCCTCGTTCCGGCAGCGGGCTGTCTTCGGGAAGCCTCACGGCGGGGACGTCCTGGACGCTCTGCTTTTCGGGGCTCCAGTCACTGGACGGTTCGATGGTGTGAGGCCAAAACTGGAACATGCCGGTGGCGATGAGCCCCAGGAGCACCCACTGAGAAGAGGGCGATGTAGTACACTCGATGCTTGGACTTCATTCTGGGGATCAGGACGGGACCCCGGGTGTTGTACTTTACCGAGGCGCACATACTGGACCCTCCTTCCCCGATCTCCTGCACTACTGAGAAACAGGAAGAGACAGATCATGTTAGACGATAGCAAGATAGTGAATCACTAAAAATAACCGACATCAACAGAAACTGAAACAAAACAACCCTCCTGGTTCTACATTGTATCCAAATTATAATCAATATTACATATGAAAGTGTAACGGAACATGCAATGCAGATCATTCCATCTCATCATTTTGTTTTCAAGGAACGCCTCTTTTAGAGCCCAGTGACATCATCACCAGGTCTTCCAGATGGGCTTTGCTTGCAGTAAAATTGAGTCTAGTTGGGGACTCCTGTAAATGTGACAGGGCTCTGCGTTAGATGAAAGAACAAATCCCCAGCATCCCTTTAGATGTGCATGCTTCTTCCACCCTGGATCCGATCTTCCACGCTGACACTGATCTTCCACCCCAGGACTAATCTTCCACCCTGGATCCACCCTGCCATTGATCTTCCACCCCAACACTGATTTTTCCGATCTTCACCCTACTGATCTTCCACCCTGGATCAGATCTTCCACCCCAGGACTAATCTTCTACCCTGGATCAGATCTTCCAGCACAGGACTGATCTTCCACCCTACCACTGATCTTCCACCTCAACACTGATTTTCAACCCTAGATCAGATCTTCCACCCTAAGACTATCTTCCCTCTGGATCAGATCTTCCACCCAGGACTAATCTTCTACCCTGGATCAGATCTTCCACCCTACCACTGATCTTCCACCCCAACACTGATTTTCAACCCTAGATGAGATCTTCCACCCCAACACGGATTTTCACCCTAGATCAGATATCTTCCACCTTGACACTGGGCTTCCACTCTGGACGAGAGCTTCCACCCAGGCAGTGATCTTCCACCCCAGGATTGATCTTGCACCCCAACACTGATATTTGCACCCTGATCTTCTTTCCAGGACAGATCTTCACAGCCCGGACAGATCTTCCACCTATATCAGATCTTCCACCCGGACAGATCTTCTGCCCTATATTGATCTTCCACATTGATCCCACCCTGACATATCTTCCACCCAAGACAATCTTCTGCCTCTAAGACATTAATCTTCCACCCTGGATCAATCTTCCACCCAGACTGATCTTCCACCCTGGATCAGATCTTCCAGACACTGAACTTCCACCTCAGATCTTCTACCCCCACACTGATTTCCACCCTAGATCATATCTTCCACCCTGACAGTGGGCTTTCACTTTGGATCAGATCTTCCACCCAACACTGATCTTCCACCCCAACACTGATTTTAAACCCTAGATCAGATTTCACCCCAACACTGATTTGCACCCTAGATCAGATCTTCCACACCAAGACAGATCTTTCTCCCTGACACTGATCTTCCACCCTGGATCAATCTTCCACCCTGGATATCTTCTACCCGACACTGATTTCCACCCCCAATACAGATCTTCCACCCTAACACTGGGCTTCCACCCCAGGACTGATCTTCCACCCTGGATCAGTTCTTCCACCACAACACTGATTTGCACTCTACATCAGATCTTCCACCCTGACACTGAGCTTCCACCCCAGATCAGATCTTCCATCCCAATACTGATTTTCAACCCTAGATCAGATTTTCGGACAAATCATCCACCCCGACAGTGACAGCTAGGTCAGATCTTCCACCCTGACACTGATTTCTATCTCCAGGAATTGATCTTCCACCCCCAGCGCTGATGTTCCATCCTCTGGGACAACTCCTTTGCCCCTCCCCCTCCGGTCCCCAATCCCCGACCGGTGTGTACAGGAAAGGGGGGGGGGTTCTCTTACCTCCGGCCCCAGTGGCAGCTCCTCCGGCCCCGGGCCGCCCCGCTCAGCTCAAAACCTCATCGCCCCCTCCGGACACTCAGCAGATGCGGAAACCGCGTCATTGTCAGCTGATCACATCCATCTCCCTGTGGAACATGTCCGCACTACAGGGGGACCGCCGCCATCTTCCCGGAGACCACACCCAAGGGGGCAATTCTATGGAATCCGAAGAAAAATTACAACCGAGAGGATTTCATGCAATAATCGATTATAAACCGCAGGTCTGTGTTCACATTGGATTGTTTCTGTGACAATGGCTTCCCTGTACTGCTTTCAAAAAGGGAAGCCTGTCATCACACATCATTACATGGGAATTTATATTGTTTTATTTATTCATATTTTATTATATTATTCATCTATTTTTTTTATTTTTTAATGATGTATTTATTTAGTTTTATTTATTTATATATTATTTATTTACATTCTTTTATTCATTTAATTTTATTTTTTTTTGTAATATTTATATATTGTTTAATATATTTGTAATTTTATTATGCATTTATGTTCTTTTATTTATATTTGTTTAGATTTTATTATATCATTACACTTTTTTATTTATTTTGATGTTAATTTTATCAGGTAGTGTAGAGTTGGACCACCCCACATACTTCTAGGGATATTGGCTCAGGCGCAATCCAAGAACAAAATACCTAAAATATGTAGCAGGTAATAGGTGTACTGAACAACTGGAGTCCTGTTGAGTGCACCTACTGCCTGCTGCATAGATTTTTTAAATTATATATTTATATTCATTTGTTTGTCTATTTTGTATTTTAATATGTATTTATATTATTTTAATTGTTTAATTTTTATTTAATATTTAGATTTTTTTTTTTTATTATGTATTTGTATTTTTTATTTCTTTATTTTATTAGATATTTATACTTTTTTATATTTTGTATTTATATTATTTTATGTATCATATTTAATTTTATTATATATATTTATATTGTCTTATTTTATTTGCTGTTTATTTATGCTTTTTTTTTTAAATTTATTTTTTTGCATAATTATATTTTATTTTTTTTTTTATGTATTATATTTATTATTTATATTCTTTTGTTTATTTTTTTTTTATTATTATTTAGTTATTTTTTGGGTTATTTATTTTATTTTTTTTATTGTATATTTTATGTATTTATATTCTTTTCTTATTTATTTTTATTTTATTTATATTATTATATTTTTATATTTCAGATTGTATATATATATATTATATATGTATTTATATATATATTTTACTTATTTATATATTTATTGTGTGTGTGTATTTGTATTTTTTATATATATATGTGTATATATATATGTGTGTATATATGTGTGTGTGTGTTTGTGTATATATATATATATATATATATATATATATGATTTATATATATAGATAGATATGATTTATAGATATGATTGTATTATGCATGTATAGTACTTTATTTGTTTACATTTATTTTACTATATATTATTTATTCTTTGATGCATGTAATTTTATTGTATACTTTTATTTAATTAAGGCTAAATATATATGTGTGTGTGTGTGTGTATATATATATATATATATATATATATATATATATATATATATAATTTTTTTTTTTACTAATTATATATATATATGTATATATGTATGTATGTATATATATAATTTTTTCTTTTTTTAAATAAAATATACATATATATATATAAAAATTATTTGTATTTACCTATAATACCCATATTGTGTTATGCTTTTTCAGTTCCCTTTTTCTTTGCTCAGTGGTGCAAGTTCTTTTGTGCATTAAAAAAAAATATAAAAGAACAGTTTAGAAACTGTATGCACAAACAAAGAAAACAACAAATCATATAATATAAACATAAATAATATAAAAAAATTGCAATAATTAATAATTAACAAATAACAAAAACCCAAAACTATTTGTTTCAGGTACCTGGTGATGTGCAAGATATATTGTGCCCTGGGAATGTAATACTGCATTTTAGACAGCAGGTGGCACACACATACATGCTTAGAGTGAGCACACTGTACACATATTCAACATCAGAAAACTTTGGGATGTGCTGATGTCTGGGCACATGGAGGAATATCCATCTTTCTGGATTTGTCTGGATCCACCGCACAGGAAACATCCCATATATATATATCTATATAATGGGAGTAAACCCTGCCCCATCATTGGTTTTGACAGGAGGAATAGTGCCCCAGAGATGGTGTCAGTGGGAGGAGTACTGCCCCAGCGATGGTGTCGGTGGAAGGAATAGTGCCCCAACGATGGTGTCAGTGGGAGGAATAATGCCCCCAGGGATGGTGTCAGTGGGAGCAATAGTGCCCCATCATTAGTATTAGTGGAGTGGGAGGAATAGTGCCCCATCATTGGTGTCATTGGGAGGAATAGTGCCCCATCATTGGTATCAGTGGGAGGAATAGTGCCCCATCATTGGTGTCAGTGGGAGGAATAGTGCCCCATCATTAGTATCAGTGGGAGCAATAGTGCCCCATCATTAGTATCAGTGGGAGGAATAGTGCCCCATCATTGGTATCAGTGGGAGGAATAGTGCCCCATCATTGGTATCAGTGGGAGGAATAGTGCCCCATCATTGGTATCAGTGGGAGGAATAGTGCCCCATCATTGGTGTCAGTGGGAGGAATAGTGCCCCATCATTGGTATCAGTGGGAGGAATAGTGCCCCATCTTTAGTATCAGTGGGAGCAATAGTGCCCCAGGGATGGAGGTGGGTGTCAGTGGGAGGAACCAAGGGACAGCGCTTGGAGGTGGGTAGAGGGAGGAACCAAGGGACGGCGCTTGGAGGTGGGAAGAGGGAGGAACCCAGCGACGGTGCTGGGAGGTGGGTAGAGGGAGGAAACAAGGGACGATGCTTGGAGGTGGGTAGGGGGGTGGCAAGACGGACTTACTCAGAAGGGGGGAGTACCTGCACCTATTTGATGCCTTTACAGTACTTACCTGTTTTTCAAGCATTTTTGGTCCGATCCAGTGACATCACAGGTCCTTTTTGCCCCCATTTCCCTTTGACGATGGTTGGATCATAAAAGCTGCAGCATTCCTCTGTGAGTCCCTTCCAGAGGGAAGCTGCACTTGTAAAGTGCTCAGTCTATTTGCCTTTAGTAAATGGACCCCAATGACTCGTCTCATTTTGTTTTAT